GGGGTAGCCCCAGTGGGGTGGGAAACTGCTGCATCTGTCTGGGGACTCCATCCCTGAGACCCTTCTGATGCTTCTCTCAAGACTCAGAGCACATCACGGTCAGGAAGTGCACCCCACGCATCCCAACCACAGTCTAAGGTGCCCTACGACAAACCCAGGGCCACCTCAGAGCGCAGAACGGAGACAAGAAATAACTGATGACAAAACCAGTGGGTTTCATTGGAATTTTCTGCAGACCACTTCAGTAAATATTATCGCTATACCATGACATTCGTTATGTTAATTGCCGCAAAGTTTTTGGTTTTTTTTTTTGCAATTTTAAGCTGTCAGACTCGGCAGAGATTACTCTCTCTCTCTCTCTTTTTTTTTTTTTTTTTTGGTCAAATAGTGATTTGGGTTTCCTCAGAATGAGAAAGTTCTTCTGGCTTCCTTTGATAGATGGTTCTTACCTATTCAGAGCAAGGAGGAATTTGAGGCCATCAGATCCCAAAGCCCTCTTGCATGGTAAGTAGCCTACCAGTAATAATGATGACGTCTTCTATGATCAAAGTGCTTAGCTTCCAAAGGGCTTCAGATTTTTAGTACAGAACTGGAAACTTTCAGAGCTGGAAGAGTTTGCAAATGTCATCCCAATCTGTTGGGTGGCCAACCATGTATTGCCTCACTTTACAGTGTATGAAGGGTGTCAGTTCTCTATTAAAAGCCTCCAGTGACTGCATTTCATTTAGGATGAAATCCACATGCCTCATCATGACCTTGAACCAATACCATTTCCAGCCATGGTCCCTCCCCCTCCTACACTCAGCCATGATGAACTTCTTCATGTTCCTTGCCGAGGCCAAGCGTGTCCCTACCTTGGGGCATTTGCACCTACTGCTCCTTCTACACGGGATACTTCTCCCCCTTATCTTCATAATCCTGGCTCAGCTCAAATGCCACAAGCTCAGAAAAACTTTCTCCAACTGTCTTAAACAAAGTACCGCTCCCAGTCACGTTCAACTACATTACCCTGCTTTGCTTTTCTCATAGCAATTCTCTTTAGCTAAAATTATCGGCTTGTTCATTGTCTTTTTATGCCTTCTAGCATGTCAGATCTTTGTCTATCTTGTTCATCACTGTATCCCAGAGTTAACTCAGTGCCTGACACATTGTAGGTCCAGTATATCACGTGTTGAAAGAATGAATGCATTTAATATTCATTTCTTTTTTCATGTGAGCCTCCTCCAAACCCTTTGAGGCAGAAGTTACTGTTACGCTTATTTAATGGTGAGTTGACATGGTTGAAATAAAGACACCTTTACAGATATCCAAGAAATGTATAGGTAACCCTTCAGTAAAAGGTCATAAAATGCATATCCATCCATGTTTTCTAAATGATTAGCCTCAGTTTTGTAAACCATAAAAACTGTAATTCTCAGGCCATTATATCAGAAGAACAAGAATGTTTCAGAATGCTTTTAATCTGTATTTTGATTAAGGATCCTACAGTGGATTTTGAAAGGTTTTATTTAGACTATGTGTGAACTTCACACATGTTAACTAATAAAACCGAATGTTTTTTAATGTGTTTAAAAAAAAAAAAAGCCTATTTCCTAAGTGGGCTTAGAGATGCAAACTGATTCCCAAGGCCCCTTATCTAGTTATTCATTGCTTTGTAATAAACCACCCCAGAGCTTACTGGTGTAAAACAACAAGAATATGTCATTTCTTTCGGTTTTGTGGGATGGCTGGGTGAGTCTTCTGCTGGGCTTGCCTGAGCTCACCCATATGGCTATAAGAGCGGGGACAGCTGACCCTCTTCCTCCATGTGGTCCTTCAGATGTCTTCGCAGCCTGGTGGCCTCAGGGCCTTATCCCAAGAGAGTAAAATCCGAAGCACCAAGGTCTCTTAAGGCCTAGCCTCGGAAATGGCACAGCATTGCTTGCTCTGGGTTCTAGCCATCAAAGGCAGACCCAAACTAGGGGAAAGGACATACACTCCACTCTCAGTGGGAGGTGCTGTCACACTGCAAAGGAGCCAGGGCCACATTGTGGCCATCTTTGAAAATCTGTCACAGGTAGTAAGTGCTGGAACCAGCTTGACTGAAGCTCTGACTCAGCAAGGAAGACCAAGGGGCCACGATTACCCGTGACTCCGCAAATCTAAATGGCCTAAAACAAATTTATCTCTCGCTCACATTACGTGTCCACCAGGGGCTGGTTGGGCTTCCGAGACTTCACTCTGGGACCCGAAGTAAGGGAGCAACCTCTTCCTGGCATATCTCCTGAACAGAGCCAGTCTCGTGGCACACAGGAAAGGGAAATGACAAGGACTCACTGGCCCAGAGCCTCTGCACAGAAGTGACACAAATCACATCCACCAATACATCAGTGGCCAATCAGGTCACAGACATTTCCTCCTCTCCTGGGAGGGGCACTGAATATGGGTGGACAATAATCTCATCTGCATGGAGCCCATTTTCCTCTTCAGATCCTTTAAAAAAAAATATCCTTCACAGAGCCAAAATCTGTCTCATTCTATTTCTACTGTTGGTCCAAGTGCTGCTGTCTCATCTGCTCCCTCTGCCCACAGAGCAGAGAGAAAAAGGTCACTGGAGCCGTTTCTTCTCCAGGACGCACATCCCGGCCCTTCCAGCCACCCAGTGCAATAACCTGCCATAGCTTCCCATTGCTCCAAAGTCCTACCTGTGTCCTTATAAGCCCCCCACGGTCTGATTCCTGCCGGCCTGCCAGTCTGCACTCCATGAATGCCCCAGGCTGTTTGATGCCTTGTGCGGGTCTCCATGCTGTTTCCTCTGCCTCTGTGGCCCTTCCACTGTGAAATGTTTTCCTTTTAAGATCTGCCTCGAAAACCACTCCTCTCTGAAGACAATTTTTGTTTCCTTTGGCAGGGTCAACCAACTTTTCCTTTTTCTAAACCTCTTCATTATAGCATCTATTCATTCACTCGTTTGACCAACACTTTTTGATCATTTATGACTGCTCCAGGCTCTGAGGAGACACAGGAATAATACAAACAAGGTCCTTGCTCCTTCCCTCGTTCCATTCTGGTGCATTAAAGCAGGCGATAAGCACATAAACAAATGAATTAAAAAAATAATTTTAGACAGTGATACGTGTTTTCATTACAATAGAAAAGGGATGATAGGAAAAACCCAGTGGCATGGAGGTGACTGCTTTAGGTACGATGATCAGGCTTCGTGGCCTCTTTGATATTTGGGCAGCCGTGGGAAGATGTGGGGAAGAGCATTCCCGGCAGAGGGAACAGCCAGTGCAGATGGCCTGTCGTGTGGTCCAGCTTGGCCTGTTCTGGGCACAAGGAGGAAGCTACTGCTGCTGAGGCACACAGAGGGAGGAGGAGGATGGTGAGACATGAGCTCAGAGAGGTGGGCCGTGGCCAGATCACGTTGATGGTGAGAAGAAGCTTGGATTTAATTCTAACGACAGCAAGAAGTCCTGGAAGGGTTTTCATCGGGGGGTGGAGAGGTGTGATCTGATTTATACTTTTTTGAGATGACCTATATTGCTTTGTGAATTGCTGGTGAATAAGAGTAGAGGCTGCGAGACCAGCATGGAGGCTCTTGCTGTCATTCCAAGATGCTGGTGACCTGGATGCACAGCCTTCAGCAGCCTCCCAGAAGCTGTGACCTCAGAGGTCCAGGGAACCGTGACCTTAGTCTCTGCATCTCAGCACACACATAGCACAGGGTGGGCCCACAGTGACAGAATGACTTAGGATGCTGTGTCAGTCATCAGTAGCACATGCCTGAAACTGACACTCAGCAGAACCAGCCCCCTTTCCCTCTCCTTTGTCAAGCTCTTGCTGAAACTCCCCTCCAGGTATCATATGGGGCAGCCCACCTGACCACCTGCCTCGCTTACTCTGGGTTAGCAAGCCAGGCTTGGCACAGCCCTCGCCATCCTGCCCACCCAGCCTCTGCTCCACCGAGGTCTGCGTGGTCAGCACAGCAGCCTTGACATCTTGATATTTAAGTGAGGTTTCTCCCATTGAGCCTCCATGTTTTCATCTGGAAGGTGGGTGTTATTTTCCCTGCCCCAAGAGCCCCTTTTCCCAAGACCCTCCTCTCTCTCCATCTATCCCTTCAACTAGAGCAAATCCACTCTGGGGGTTTCTGAAGCTCCACTGATTTTGTTTTTTCTTTTCCTAACGTTTTTTTTTTTTTTTTTTTTTTTGCAGTACGCGGGCCTCTCACTGTTGTGGCCTCTCCCATCGCGGAGCACAGGCTCCGGACGCACAGGCCCAGCGGCCATGGCACACGGGCCCAGCCGCTCCGCGGCATGTGAGATCTTCCCGGACCGGGGCACGAACCCGTGTCCCCTGCATCGGCAGGCGGACTCTCAACCACTGCGCCACCAGGGAAGCCCGATTTTGTTTTTGTTTTTTTTAAATTAATAACCCCTGAACTGATTTCCCTGTGCCTTAAGCCTCGGGCCCTCTGTCTTTCCAGACTTCAGATCCCAGAATTATCCAGACTTTTCCCTTGAAACTAGTTCTTTCTCCCTCTTCTAGCTTGATTCCAGGTGGCTAAGAGCTGGGCACCCAAGGGAAGGGGTGCCACCTGATCCCCTGGGTCTAGCCCTCCCGGGGCAGGCCCTACAGCTATGGGCAGAAGCCAGCGCTGGGCCACAGAGGGAAGTCCCCTTCCACTCAGCCGGTTACTGCACAGCTGGAAGCTGGCTCCCAGGCCAGGCAGTGGGGGGAGTGCGGGGAGTGGGCGGGAGGGAGTGGGGGAAAAGCCAGAGAAATAGGGGGCAGCCTGACAGAAAGAAAGGCAGAGGGAAAGTGTCAGGGCCAGAGAGAGAAGGAAAGAAGGTCCAGGAGAAAGGAAAAGAGAGGATGTGGGAGAGCGTGCGGGGAGGGAGAAAAGCCAAGGAAGAGAGAATGTGAGTGTGTGTGCGCCGCGCGCACGGAGTGGGAGAAAGAGAGGAGAGAGGAGGAGAGAAAGAGACTTGGAGAGGGAAGGAAGGGAAGGAGCGGTTGGAAGCCAGGAGGAGCGAGCTGGAGGCGGAGACGAGGAAGTGGGGGCGAGGCGCAGGGCGCGGGCGGGGCGCACCGCCAGCTCCATCCCTGGCCGGAGGGCAGCCGGCGCGGGCGCTGGACGGAGGCGAGCCGGAGCGGAGCCACTTCAGCGGCAGCAGCTCCAGGTAGCGCCGCCGCCGCCTCCCCGCGGGGCCTGAGCTCGGGGTGGGGTCCCCTGGCGGGCGCTGGTGAGGAAAGAGGGCCGCCTCGGGCGGCTGCTCCCGGTTCGCCGCCGCCGTCTTGACTCTGACCCCGGGTTCGAACCCCGGCCCCTCCGCGCGCGCTGACTGTGCCTGACCTTGGGAAAGTCGCTTCGCTGGCGAGCCTCAGTTACCTTCTGTGACTCGCGGGGCCGGGGGCGGGGGGTGGCGCCCTGGGACGCCTTGCGAGCGCGGGATGCAACCCTGGTTGGCCTGCGGCAGTGACTCTGGGCTCGGGGTCGGGTGGATGTGCGCTCAAACCCCCTTGGGGGTGGATTTGGAAAACCCACTTTCGCCGAAATAGCCCCTGTTTTGTTCCCGGGTCTGGGCGCTGGCGTGTTCTCAGGGCCATGTGTCTGTGGGCACAGGGCACGACTTTCTGCTTAAGGAAAGCAGGTAGGGCGCAGGGGGTGGGCGTGGAGGAGACCCCTAGCTCCTCAGGCAGCCTTCGTCCTCCTGGATGCCCGATGCCCGGGGCGGGGGGGGGGGGGGGCTGGAGCTTCCAGGATGAGCCAGGCAAGTGGCCTCGGCTTAGCGGCTTGGAAATCCAATTGTGCCTCTTAAGTAGTACAGCTGACCTTGAGCGTGGGAGCCTCAGTTTCCTCCCGCATGAAAAGGACCATGTTAACGCCGCCTTTGAAGTGGTTGTGAGGGTAAGGAGGTGGGGCGGGGGGGAAAGTACCTGCGGGCTGTGGTATTCCCCAGTGGCAGCTGTCATATACTAACTCGCGTGGCCAGAGTCCTGGCGATGGTTGCCTCCTGGGAACTCATTTGTACGTGCCAGGTCCTCTCTGGTCTCCTTTGCCAGAGATGGTTAGTGGTCCAGCTGGGCATGAAGCCGGGCCCAGAGAATGGGGGGCGGTGGTGTCAGGGGTCCCACTCCCCAACTCAGACGTACATCTTGGTGGTTCTTTTAGACATGAAATCTTTGAGATGACAGCTTATGTCCAGTAAAGCCTCCTGGCTGAATCTCTCCAAGCCTCAGTTTCTTTATTTGTGATAGAAAGTTATGAATTCCTCTCTATTCATGAGTTTCCTGTTGCTGGACGTTATGAAAGGCAATTAGTAAATTAGATTTATTGACATCTCTAGCTTGAGATATGAGGAGATTGAATAGAATGAGAAAAGAACACTTCTCTTGCACCTGCCCCGTGAAGGCCTGGTACTCAAAGCATTATGTATACAGTATTGGCTGTAGTCATCACAATAATCATGGAAGCCAGCGCCATTCAACCCCAATTTACAGATAAGAAAATCAAGGCTCACAGGGCCTGTGATTTCCACAGGGTCACACTGGTGGGATGTGCCTGCCCTGGGATTGGCCCCAGTTCTGCCTGACTGTAGAGTGCTTCTCATAGGACCAAACCATCCCCAAAATATGACTGTGAATGGTGTTCCTGGCACCTGGTTAGTTGGTTTCTTGTTAAACATGTAATAGGAAGAGCTGCTACATAATCACTGGAGAAAGTGGGTCTGAAGGCTGGCAGTGGGGTGGGGGGTGCCTTTGCCAGGTGATTTCTCTCGGGGTCTGGAAGCAAGGAAGGTCACGACTCAACACCACATAGGAAGCAGACACCAGGCTGACTCACTCCAGCCCACCAACTTCTCTTCCTTCCTCTACCACCTTGTCCCAGTTCACCTCACCTCAATTAACCTTAACCTAGACTTCTCTGGGCTGCAAGAACAATTTCTGCATCCTCCCCTGATGACTAATGCAACTGACCCTACCAGCTGATGTGTCCAACGAGAAAAGAAGGCCAGCTGATGTCCATCTCCACTAACGCCCCCAGAGAAAGGGAAACAGGATTAAGTCCCAATCCCAAGGATTTAGCTCAGCTTAGGGAGAAAGTCTCTGGTGATGGGAAAATGGACTCCTTGCTATGGGAAAATGGGTGTCCCAGCAGGCTGGAGAGGTTCCTTTGCCAAAAATGTTTTAAGAGAAGAGGAGGACATCCAAACAAAAGGATGGAAATATGGACAAAGGCTCTTTCAATTGGAAAGATATTCATCAACAATCAGAGAGCGCCTAAATGTCTGACAGTAGGAGATAAATAAACTATGGGACAGCCATGTGGCTACTAAAAATGGACATTTTAATGATAAATTTTATGTTATGTCTATTTTACTACAATATTAAAATAAAAAAGAAACTTGAATGGTCACCCATCTCAGGCTAAAAGCCTAAATTCTTTTTTTTTAAAATTATAGTTGATTTACAATGTTGTGTTAATTTCTGCAGTACGGCAAAGTGATTCAGTTATACATATACATATATATATATGCATTCTTTTGTTAATATTCTTTTCCATTATGGTTTATCATAGGCTATTGAATATAGTTCTCTGTGCTATACAATAGGACCTTGTTGCTTTTCCGTTCTATATATAACAGCTTACATCTACTAATCCCAACCTCCCACTCCATCCCTCCCCCAACCCTCTCCCCCTTGGCCACCACCAGTCTCTTCTCTAAGAAAAATGGACAGTTCTTAGTGGATGGGGACATGCTTATGCTTATGCATATGCGTATATATGGCATAGTCACAAGTTGGTGACAAGCACATAAAAAAGACTGGAAGGAGATAAGTCAAATGGTGTTAACAGTGTTTGCCAGTGGGAGATTTATTCTTTCTTTATAATTTTTGAACTTTCCAGATTTTATGCAATGAGCATATACTATAATAATTAGCAGACATAGAACTGTCTGACTTCTAATGACAATATACCCCACCCTCTCCCACCTCCTCCTGGCCAACACCCAAGACAGGGCTGGCGCATGGATGCTTGTCAGTAATAAGGACACCTCTGTGTTGAGGTCTGGCAGGCACCTTAGAAGGAAGAAGGAATACTAAAATTTTAATACCACTAATATCTGGCATTGGTTATGTTCTTACTGTGTGCTCGTGATAACCCTATGAGGCAGGTACTAGCAATAGCCCATTTTACAGAGAAGAAACCAAGATTCAGATACCTTCAGCCACTTGCCTAGTGTCACACAGGATTCAAGCCCAGGCCATCTAAATTCAGAGTCTACATTCCTAGCCGGAGTCAGGAAGTGTCAACAGACTCCATTGGCTGACATTTTAGTACCTATTACAGAAACCCTGGGGGAAGCAATGCATCTCTGCACTTTACAGGTAAAGAAATGGCTCAGGGAATTCCCTGGTGGTCCAGTGGTTAAGACTCGGCACTTTCACTGTGGGCCCCGGGTTCGATCCCTGGTCATGGAACTAAAATAATAAATAAATAAAGGTGGCAGCATCAACACCAATGTTCATAACAGCACTATTTACAATAGCCAAGACATGGAAGCAACCTAAATGTCCATCAACAGATGAATGGGTAAAGAAGATGTGGTACATACATACAGTGGAATACCTACTCAGCCATGGAAAAAAAAAAATATATATATATATTTATATATATCTCCTAATGGTTCTGTTTCTCTTCTCTGAAGAACTCTGACTTATACTTAGCATGTCAGAAATGGAACTCCTGTCCTTCCCTGAAGTCTGACCTACCTGCTCTCTTATTCATCTCAATTCATTGGCAACTCCATCCTTTTGGTTGCCCAGACTGAAAATCCCAGAGCCATCCTTTTCTTTTGTATTTATTTTAAAAAATTTTAATCAATTTTTTAAGTTGTTGCAGTGTTATGTTGGTTTCGGGTGTGCAGCAAAGTGATTCAGATACCTATATGTACATGTGTTCTTTTTCAGATTCTTTTCCATTGTGGGTTGTTACGGGATGTTGAGTATGGTTCCTGGAGCCATCCTTAAAAGTTCTCTTTTTCTCATATATCACATGCAATGCATCATCAAATACCATTGGCTTTATCTTAAAAATATGTCCAAACTTACAGACTGGGAGAAAATATTTGCAAATGATGGAGCCGACAAGGACTTAATTTCCAAAATATACAAACAGCTCATACAACTCAGTAACAAAAAAACAACCTGGACTTCCCTGGTGGCTCAGTGGTTAAGAATCTGCCTGCCAATGCAGGGGACGTGGGTTTGATCCGGTCTGGGAACATCCCACATGCCATGGAGCAACTAAGCCCATGCACCACAACTACTGAGCCTGCGCTCTAGAGCTCGTGCGCCACAACTACTGAGCCCGCGTGCCACAACTACTGAAGCCCATGCACCTAGAGCCCATGTTCCACAACAAGAGAAGCCACCACAATGAGAAGCCCACACACTGCAACGAAGAGTAGCCCCTGTTCGCCGCAACTAGAGAGAGCCCACATGCAGCAACGAAGACCCAACGCAGCCAAAAATAAATAATAAATTTATTTTTAAAAAATCCAGTCAAAAAATGGGCAGAAGACCTAAATAGACATTTCTACAAAGAAGACATACAGATGGCCAATAGGCATATGAAAAGATGCTCAACATCACTAATTACTAGAGAAATGCAAGTCAAAACTACAGTGAGGTGCCACCTCTCACCACTCAGAATGGCCATCATTAAAAAGTCCACAAATAACAAATGCTGGAGAGGGTGTGAAGAAAAGGGAACCCTCCTACACTGTTGGTGGGAATGTAAATTGGCATAGCCACTATGAGAAACAGTATGGAGGTTCCTCAAAAAACTAAAAATAAAGTTGCCATATGATCCTGCAATCCCATTTCTGGGCATATATCTGGAGGAAACTATAATTCGAAAAGATACATTCACCCCAATGTTCATTGCACTATTTATAATTAGCCAACCTAAATGTCCGTCGACAGATGAATGGATAAAGAAGATGTGGTACATATATACAATGGAATACTACTCAGCCATAAAAAAGAACAAAATAATGCCATTTGCAGCAACATGGATGCAACTAGAGATTATCATACTAAGTGAAGTAAGGCAGACAGAGAAAGACAAATACCACACGATATCACTTATATGTGGAATCTAAAATATGTCACA